TTAGTATAAACTATGTACACAATAGTAGAGGCTTGTGAAGGCCTTTTATGCATGCATCAGGAGTTGAGCTCAGTTTGAACAATGAAAGAGAATACCCTGCACTCCAACCCTCTCTCAAATGGATAATTCTGTTGATCCTCCTGACAGCCATGCTTTACATTTTGATTTATGTTCTTCCAAAGCTAAAATCAATGATTCCATCTAGTGCTATATTATGGCTCAGCTGTATTTTTATGTTTTATGTTATTTTAAGTGATTTCCCTATCCACATTTGTTTGCAGGGCACTTGAACTACTCTTACCCCCATTTTACTTCCTTTTGCAGCCCTCTAACCCTTTCCAGGACTTTTAGAGGCATTTTTGTGCCCAAAAGTTTGGGTCCCCATTGACTTCAATTGACTTCAATGGGCTTCAGGGTCAAGTTCGATCACAGACCCGGACTTTTTTTCAAAGTTCGGCCGAACCACCCGGACCCGAACATCCAGGTGTCCGCTCAACACTACTCGTGATGCATGTTTTTAAAAAATAATGGCAACATAGTGAATTGCAAAAACAAAGCAATAGACACGCAGGTCTTACTATAACTGTATGGTTTGTATACTCGCTGGTCTCATCTCGTACAACATGTCACAATCATTAAATGCGGTAACATCTGTGTCTTAATTCGCAGCATTTCCCAGGTTATTTTATGTGAATGTGCTGTGTATCCCCTTACATAGCTGGGGGAATCGTGATTCCTCTTGTCACTGTCTGCACATGTTATTGCGTGGTAGGTATGTAGTTAGCATATGTGAATGTCAGTTCTCAAGGTCCCCTTTTAAGTAACTTGCTAGTGTTTGTTGCCATCTCCATTCCCTCTCCCATCCTACCCCTATCCCAACTTAGTTTTTTACACAGAGTTAGGCTCTGTGTTGAAACTTGAGATGTACTTCCTCTAAGTATCAGCCTATAATTGGGGCTAAGGCAGTCTGGGCCCAGGGAACCATTCTGCTACAGTTCGCTTTTGAGCTGTGTGAGTTTAGTTCTCTACTTGCGTGCTTCTGTGGTCGGTCTTTAGGTTGCACTGGCCACTCTCTTCCCCTGTCCCTCACTCCCCCCGGTCCCTGCTCCCTCCCCCCATGTCCGAAATGGGGTACCCACTCCACACACCCCGGCCCCATGAGCCGATGTCCCCGCCACCTCATCCCCCTGTGTCTGTCAAAAAGGTCCATGAGGTGACCAGGGGTGACCCTGCCAGGATCTTCAAAGCTTGATTCTCATCTTAATCTAGGGTATTTGCAGGCACGTACATGTTCAGGCCTCTCTTGCTATCTGGTAGTGTGCGGTTATTCCCTGTGGTTCTATGCTTTTTGTTGGTAGTTTCAAGTAAGCACCTGTCTTCCCCACCTGTTAAACCCCTGTTCTCCGCCCAGGGGCTGAGTAACAATCCTGTGTCTGTAGGTCATGGGGTATGTGTTCTATCATGTTATCGTAAAGAAAGGAGACCCAGTCTAGTGAGAAAGCAGTTGGTACCACTAATCTATGTGCCATGAGCATTCCCCCACCCCCCGGATCCCTCCCAGATCCCACTCCCCCTCCTCGCTATGCATGCAATCCATGGTCTCCACCGTCCGACATGTTTATAGCTTCTGCCCATCACCGATGCCCTTATAGCCTCCGCTGAGTAGATCTCCTCCATCCGGTCGTACCATTGTGTAAGTGTCGGAGGCTGTGTATGTTTCCACATAGTGGGTATGACTGCTTTTGCTGCATTGAGCATGTGCCTCAGAATGGAATTCTTGTAATGCGAGATTGGCCCCGGCATGGAGTGTAACAGGTTTTGTTCCATCGTCAGAGGTGTTGTGTTGCCCATAATTTTGTTGTTGATCGAGGCCCAGAATGGTGTTATAACTGGGCAGTCCCACCATATGTGCCTCAGGGTCCCTTCTCCTTCTTGGCACCTCCAGCATGTAGCTGGGATAGATGGGAAAATCTTGAGTAGGAGTGCTTGGGTTTTATATCAGTACACAAGGAGTTTATAATTGACTCCCTGGTACCGGGTACTTGCTGAGGATTTATGTTGTAGGATGAGTATTTTTTCCCATTGTGTTGAAGTAAATGTAGCTCCTGTGATGTGTTCCCACTGCAATTGGAAAGTGTGTAGTTCAGAACGGTCCCCTACTCAGTGGCGGATCCGGGGGGGGGGAGGGAACAGGGCAAATGCCCCCCCCCGAGATTCTCCCCTGCCAGCTAATGCAGGGCTGTCACTGTCCAAGTGCCAGCCCTGCAATGTGCCTTCAAGGAACGGAGGGGAGATCAGTGATCTCCCTTCCCGGTCCGCAGGTACATTGCTGGCAGCCAGCAGGGAAGGGAGAGAAGAACCGGGAGCTCAGCCTACAGCTCCTCCGGGTCCTTCCCTCACGAGCACGGAGCGTTGCCGAGGTTACCACGGCAACGCTCCAAATCTTGCGAGAGTGAACTCTAGCCCTGGAGCTATGGGCTACAGTTCACCTCACCCCCACTGGGACCACCAGGGATTCTCCACCGGACCACCAGGGATGGAGAAATGTTCCCCCTCCACCCAGTAAAGGTAAGAAGGGAGGGGGGACATAAATATCGATATATTTAAAAAAAAAAAAACACATACAGTGCCCCCCAAACACTCACTGCCCCAAACACACATACACTGCAACTCTCACATACACTGCCGCCCTCACACACACACACTTCACCCCTCACATATACCACTGCTCCTATGCCCTATATCCCAGCAGACCCCAGGTAAGTTGTCAAACTGTTCTTAAATGGTTTGACTACTTACTCTGGGATGGGATCCTGGCACTACTGGCAGCATAACTACTACACGGAGCTGTAGTGGTTATTGTGTCTGGATTATTTCTTTAAAGTGCCCCTCCCGAGATCAGGGGGAGAGGTACGAGATTGCCTTATCGAGAGTTATCTTGTTCAGGCAAAGGGTTTTGAATGGCATGAGGGTTCTATGGATGGTGTTTTGTTTTAGAGGGAATTGTAGAAATATTGTAGTTGCATGTATCGGAATGAGTGCAGGTGCGTCAGAGTCGGTTTGTCAGTCAATTCCAGTAAGGGCTTCAGTCCCGTGTCGTCTAAGACATTGTGGATAGGAATGAATTCCTGTGTGCCGAGGAAGCCCCAGGCCCTAGATGTGAGGCCCCCTCCGATCAGGCGGTTGTTGGTCAGCGGTGTCATTGGGCTCGGGGCTGGGGAAAGGTGTGGGGCCGCACGTATGGAGTTCCATGTTTTTAAGGTGTGAGCTGCAGGGGACAACTGGTCCTAGACCCCTAGTGGGGAGGCTCGAGCCGACCATACATCCTCAAGCAGGTGATTGTCCCTGATTGCCCTGTCCAGTGCAACCCATTGCTTTTAGCGTGGGCTGGAGTTCCTTTCTAAAATGCATTGTAGTGTAGATGTGTGATGATATTTCTGTATATATGGGAGAGCTAGACCTCCCCGGTGTCTTGGCAGACATCAAATATCATGTCTGGGCGCGGTCGGGTACCATTCCATACATACTTTACGATTGCAGATTTCAGCGTTTGGAAAAGATAGAGAAGTCTAGGCAAGATGTTCATTTTTATGATGCGCCCCATCCACATCCAAATATGTTGATAATTCATAGTTCGGAGATCCTGCAGTATCCTAGTAAGGAGTGGCATGAAGTTAGTTTGCGAAAAACAGAGAAAAGGGTGGCGCTGGAAATAAGTAAAATATTACAGGTAAACCCAGTGCAGCATACAAAGGAATCACCAAAGTGTATAGTCACTAATTAACACTTACATACAGGAGTTTAGAAATGAAGATAAGGTGATTGCACACATTGGATGATATTCTTGCATTAAGTAAATGATCCCTAGATTATGTGGTTATAAAAAAACCAACATAGGGTAATATTTCTCAACACAAATGAAATAATATATAACTTGGAAAACACAATATTTAGAGCCCTTATAAGTTGGCTCTAAACTATGATAGCAGATCATTGCTGTTCTTTGTTACGCAACCCAGGATTTCTTTACAGTGTTTGATGCAAGAATTTACAACTTACGGACTCGCATTTTGATAGGTTAAATTTGAGGCCCAAGAGGCGACCGTAAGTTGTAAATTCTTGCATCAAACACTGTAAAGAAATCCTGGGTTGCGTAACAAAGAACAGCATATCATCGGCATTCAACGCTGTTTTATGCATAACTCCATTCGAATTAAAGCCCCTGATATATATTGCACCGTATTGCTTCGAAAAGGGGTTCCAAGATCAGGGCAAAGAGCAGTGGGGAAAGTGGGCACCCCTGTCTGGTCCCGTTCCAAATTGGGAAGGTATCGGTGAGAGTTCTGTTCACTTTAACGCAAGCATTAGGCCAACTATATATGGCATCTATCCATGCGAGTAGTTTAGGTCCAAATCCAGTCTCTCTGAGCGTCTCTGTTAGGAAAGTCCAGTCCACCCGGTCAAAGGCCTTCTCTGCATCAGTGGAGAGCAGGAGCATGTGCTCTCCCTTTGTTCTAGCAAGGTATTGTATGGAAAGTACTCTCAGCAATCCCGTTGGATCCAGGTGGGCTAGTTTTGGGAGTAGTGTGTTCAGTCGGCTTGCTAGGACCTTGGTGAACAGTTTGATGTCCACATTCAAGAGGGAAATTGGCTTGTAGCTGCTGCAAAGCTCTGGGTCCTTGCCGGATTTGGGGAGGATGGTTACTGGCGCTGCCAGTGTTTCGTTGTGAAATCTAGTCCCTGGCATAAGTGCATTCCGAGCTTTGACAAATTTAGGGATGAGCGTGTCTCTGAATCTCTTGTAGTATGTCAGGGAGAACCTATCAGGTCCCGGCGCCCTGCCTGTTTTTGCCGTCTTAATTGCTGCCTTCAGTTCCTCTTCTATGATTGACGTTTCCATGAGATCCACTTCATCTCGAGTCACCCTTTTGGCAAGGAAGTTTGAGAGATATTGCTGAATTGCTTCTGTCCTAGTGCCTGAGGGGTCTGTGCAGTTCTATTGTCCTAGATTGTATAAGCTCGAATAAAAAGTGCGGAATTCATTCGCTATAAGTTCCAGGTGTTGTGTCGTCTTGCTCCCTGTTAGTTTCAGTTTGTGAACCTGTGCATTTCACCTGCATCTGTTGGCCTTTGAGCATCGTGCCAGGAGTTTGCCTCCTTTATTCGCGTGTTTGTAAAAAAAGCCCTTGGATCTTTGTATATTTCTGTAGTGCTTTTTGACAAGCATTGTCTGCAACTGTCTTCTAAGGTCTAGCAGCTCCATGTAATCCTTGTCAGAGAGAGTCCTTTTGTGTCTTACCTCGATGCCCCCAATTTTGGCGAGTAAATTGTCCATTATCCGTAAGGCGTCTTTTTTCTTAGTTTCTAGTTGGATAATGAAACCCCTCGGGCACTCTTATCAGCTTCCCAGATGGTGGCGTCGGAGGTCTCCCCCGTTACATTGACGGAGAAGTAGGACTCCAGGGCCTGGGCAATCTGCTCCCTGATTACTATGTCCATCAGCAGGGATTTGTTGAGTCTCCAGCTCATGGTTTTGGGTCGTGAGAGTGGTGTGTCCAGCTCCATAAGTACCGACCTGTGGTCTGACCAGGTAGCAGCTTCAATATCAGCTCTTTGCAACTTTGCTAGTAATTCATGTTGGAGGAACAGGAAATAAATCCTTAAGTATCTCGCGTGGACCCCCGAATAGTGTGTATAGTCCTTTACCATGATGTGCAGCTCTCTCCAGCAGTCCACTAATCTTAAGCGTCGGAGGGCTTTCTGTATGCCTCGGATTTCCCTCTGCGGTATGCTGCTATGCCACGATGAGGTATCCAGTGAGGGGTCCATTGAAATTGCCCCCCAAGTTGAATTTCTATTTTTTTTTTTTTAACACATACACATACACAAAATAAAAACACTGGACTAGGTGGCACTCTCACTCTCAAGCATCGGAGGGATCAGCTCCTAGCGTGCGGTGGATCCTTCCTAACAAAACAGGACTGAGACGTGGTATTGTCAAAATTTTAAACAAAGAAGGTGAATGCCAGAAACATACAGAGCAGAGTCAGAGTCCGCTAATCAAAGCACAATAGCCCAATTAAGACAATGGCAAGCAGTAACAGGAGCTGGCATGTGCAGATTCAGATGCACATTTTTTTCAGTAGTTTCCTTCTAAGGCAATCCTGTCCCTATTCCCATAGCATGTTTATCTCCACTCTTGGAGCTTTCTCAAATGCGGAAGGTTCTGCTAGTTTCACCATAGTTTGGGTTGCAGATTAGACTCTGTATCCAACCACTAATATATATATATTAAATGCGCTAGCAGATTAATGTTATAAAGCTTTAGATTTTTATTTTTTATTATTATGTTTATTCTAGGACTATTGTATAACTAAATAACTTGTCAAATAAGTCAAATAATCCACGTGATCAAATATTCTACATATGATATCATCTGTGTATATATATATATATATATATATAAATTACTAATTCTTTCTGAGCAGCAATAAATATTCAGTTTTGGAAGATTCACTAAATTGCAGAAAATTAGGTTTTTCAGTCGTTTAAAAAAGGAAAGAAATATTGCTGTTCTATTAAGTCAGTAGGATTGAACAGTTCAAATACCGAACATCTTATCGACAATAGTTAATCGCTTGTGGCGTAAAATTTCAGCCAATCACAATGCAGTAAACACAATGTCTGGTGAGCTATTTTCTAGCCAATCCTGTGACCACAGCCATGGACCAATCATTACACAGTGCTATTGTGAGATTGGTTGTTTTATCAGCCAATCAATATTGAGTGTGTGCAAAATTAGACCAATGTTGGACTAAGGACTGCGACTGCCTGACAAGCTCTCATTTCCCACTGTTGCTGGAACAAAGAGAGTGAGATGGTGCTAGATGAGCAGTAGTTGAGCCCTGTGCTGTTTTTTGGATTGCAGTCTTTTAGCAAGCTAGCTACTATCTGGAGCTGGTGACAGTACAGTCAAGTGAGACCGAAAGACTTCACTCTAACCATTGGAAATTTTGTGTCATACATGCATATTTTTTTTAGTTATTACATTCCCCTCGCAATCTCGATAATACAATTTAAAAAAACAATTAGCAGTAGTGACGCAAGAAGGCAACCAAGTATGTTTGTAGAGAGCATCAAGAATTGTGGTTCCTCAAAGATGTTGATTACGAGCCAGAGTCTATAGCATCCACCTCTGCACTGTCTTCAGTTGCAAGCAGCAGCACTTTATGACTAATATTGTAATCTTTTCAATTTTTTTCCATGGCTTTATTTTATTTATGTTTGCTTTTATTTTTCATTAATTCTGTCTGTTTTAATTCTTTTCCAATAGAAATTATTGACGGAAATTAAACTAAAATTTTCACTGACTTTCTGGCGAAAAGAAGAGCCATGTTATTAAAAGCCAGTCAAACCTAAAACGTTTTCCTCTTTGATCAAATGACCGACAACACTGTCTCTACTGAACTGCGTCCTCACAGCTTATGTTAGACCACGACTCCAAATAACAACGTAAGAAGGGTGGACAAGACAGTTAGAACCAAAATGATAATTAAACATATTGTTGGAAGCACAGGGTATATTGGAATAGGTGAGTCTTACATTTTCCTAAAAGATGTTGAGCAGAATTTATTTCTATTATTAATTCCATTGGATATACGGTTCTCTCTCCAATTACATGCGGCAGGAGATTTTCAAACCATTTTGCTTTCATGGTAGGACTATCTCTTGCCATTTAGTTGTCACCGTGGATCATATTTAATGTGCATGTTCCAAAGAGTTGGCTTTTAACATGTGTTCCTCACATTCCGTTCCAATATCTGACAGCTGCAGTGAAGATAACTGGAAAGTGTCAGATTTGGGAATCAGTATGCATTGAATTCGAGTAATGGATTGAGGCAGGTATTTTATGCTTAATGTCATAAGCAAGCCAGGGTTATAAAATAAAAAGTCAAGGGTTTAATGCAACTGACAACGGTTAAACTGCTCTGGTACAAGGGTCAGTAATGCGCTGCGGGACCTGCATGCAAGGAAAAATATTTATATAATGCAAGCTGACCATTAAAACGAAGATGCAGGTTTCATACCATTAAGATGCACATGCAGTTTTCGTATAAGGAGCCAACAGTTTTTTTTAGCCCAGAGACTGTCGGCATAATGATTATATACAAGGATAGGCAAAGGGAAATAGTTAACCCCTCTTGTGCTGGTAAAATATGGGGAATATGTAACAAATAGGATCTAATAGTGATGTTAGAGAGATTATTGAGCACTATAGAAGGGAGAAATAGGTCAGGTCGAGTGAAGCGGAGAACTCCAAGCACTGGCTCTCTTTCAGTGTAAGTAGGTTAATGTCGAACCATTTAAGAAAATGTTTCTATGGGTCCACAACTGCTAAGCTAACCATAAGGTGATAGAGTAGTTTCGAATGGGCAAGTGAGCCAAAATATTTTCATTTAGGAGTGAATCAATGTGCTTTAAAGAGAAACACAACGTCCTTCCAGCTAAGAAGGACCATTGAGGTTGCAATGCTGCCTTAATTGAGCTGTTATTATCTAAATGGTCAGTATGGTATGGTAACAACTATCCATAGGACAAGTGATAATGCTTTGTCTGCTACCCATGAGTTTCTCTTAAATATGCATTTAACCATTCTTGTTCCCCTGTTAGGTTGGTGTTATCCTAATGCTGTTGATGGGAAATGACTCTGGAAGTTGAATGTTTCTTACACCTGCCAAACCAACTGTTTGACATTTTATGAAGTGGTAATTCCTTTCTATTGTTGTGGTGTGTTTCCTTTTACACAACTTATCATTGCAGAATATGTAAATAGTGATTGACCTATGACAGCAGTTGATGGCGGGATGCAATTGAAGAAGTTCTACCTGGAGTTGGGATAATGCTGGACATGTCTGCTGGCAGAAGACTTCCCTAAACCTTAGTTGTCTGAGATGTGAAAGTTGTAACTGCAGGTGTGTGTTTTAGTGTTCTAGTTGAAGCCTATTTAAAGTTTCTGTATAGAGATATAGTCTATGAATATCATAGAGAGTGTCAAAACAATGGAAAATGGAAAAAAATGACAGACTCCACAACCATAAAGCACTTCAAATGATTTGTGTCAGGAGTGCTTCATTATCCCAGGGATAAGTTATTGCCTGGACCATATAAAATTGTCTTGAGGAAGCCCAGAGTATAATTTTGTCCAGAATACTGCCAGTCTATCCCTGAGGAAGACCTTATCTTATTTAATTAACTTTAAGAATTATGGACTTAAGCTGTAAGTTTGTCCATTAGACAGTTGTCCTCAGTTTGATGCGTACCTCCTGTATATCCCGAACCCTATCCTTTAATCAGTCAGAAGCAAGAGCACTGCATGCCGCCAATGTTATCTTATTAAATACGTTTTGGGACTGAGAGGGAAGTCCTTCAACGAGGCTAAACAAACACCCTGGATAGTAATGCTATGACCTTGTTCCAATAAAAACACACTTAATGGGAACTCACACCAAATATGTAGCAGTGTTAATTTTGGCGGCAAATTTCTATTTAGTTTTAGTCCTAGTCTTTTGACTAAAAAGCAATTTTATTTTTCCCAATATTTTAGTCATCTGCATTGTTGTAGTTTTAGTCTAGTTTTAGTCGACTAAATCTCCAGTACATTTTAGTCAACTAAATCTCCAGAACATTTTAGTCAACTAAATCTCAAATCAACAAGACTGAAATCTAATGAGTTTAGTTAAAGCCTCCATCTTTCTCTTTTGCCCCTTCCCCAGCCCCTCTTTGTGTGTGTTTCCTCTAAGCCCCTCTAGGTGTCTCTCTCCCAAACCCTGGTCTGTCTCTTGTGCCCCTTCCACAGCCCCTGTGCAGTGTTAATTTTGGCAGCAAATTTGAATTTAGTTTTTGTCATAGGCTTTTAACTAAAATGTAATTTTAGTTTTAGTCATATTTTAGTCATCTGAATTGTTTTAGTTTTAGTTGACTAGATCTCAAAAAGTTTAGTCGATAAAAATTTGACTAAAATGGTTAGTCGACAAAATTAACACCGCTATGTAGGTATTTTCCTCTCCAACATAAATCTGAAGGGATCTTTCCAATTCTATATAACTTTACTGGTATGGTGTACCATTGGATCATGTTTTGAAACATCGGTTTCTGAAGTCAAATGGACACAAACGGACAGTTTGCAAGCAGCTTTCCATTTTTCTTCTGAAAGCCTAAATCTCCTTCTCATTGTTGTATATAGATGAATTCACCCTAAGCCTTTGAGTTTATACAAATGGAGATAACACCTTTGCTCCGAGATCCCCGCTCTCAAGGAAAGTGGATTTCCTGAAGTGCTACTTACTGAACCATGTAGCAGTCTTTTATCAGTAACTGTTTTTAAATTTGACGATTTGAAAAGTGCCATGAAATTCACAGATGGCTATTTCCATCCTGTAAAACTGAGAAATCTTCACATCATCAAGTGGCAATCTAGCTAAATTTACTATCCCTTGATTAGATGAAAATTAGTTATTCATTTGAATTATGTTATTTAAAAGGTTTATGAAAATATATTTTCAAATGATAGTGCCACTTTAAAATAATTCTTCATGAGTTAAGGATAGTACCCTACCCTTTCCGAACATATTGCTTGATAATTTGAGTAACAATTGGATGGTGATCATTTAAAATTCTTTAGAATATTGTTGGTGATCTCAGGATGAGACGTTCTGATAATAGTTACATTCCATTGTGTTTTCTATGAAATTAATTTCCACCCATTGACTATATACCACCTTGAATATATCTGTTAAAATTTACAATAAAAACACAAGGAAGCAATATTT